TTACCTCTTTCCATCTGTAATGAGAAATGTCCCCTTGGCTATAGCAAGATAAAAGTGGAAGGGAAATTATCTTGCTGCTATGATTGTAGACGATGTGCAGAAGGGAAGATATCTGACCAAATGGGTAAGCAAAGGAATGCATTGAATATATCAGTGATTTATTAAGTGTGAATTTTAATAATATTGTAGTGCTGAATATCTTTTATAGTTTACCAATGAAAATTTTGAACTAATTGTTGGGGCTTCCAGGGAAGATATTGTGAAATGAAGATGGCTCCATGAAAACAGAAATGACTGGCAGAATGAAAGCCAGCAACCAGACTGACTGTTCAATAATTTCCTCTTCAGATAATTCCTCTTGAGATCTCCCACAGAAGATCTTCAGACAGCTGCTCCTTGTGAGGAGACCACAAAACAATGGTCTCCCAAAAGTTTAGTGCTGTAGCAGAAAACCCATCATACTCAGACACTGGCTGGCACTTTAGAAGGGACACTAAATTTGCAAACTTCCTTTCTAATCACTTTTGGATAATAATATCCAAATATAATATAATAATAGTAATTCTTAGTTAAATTAATATAAAAAGGGAAAATCTGAACTAATTGTTCATGGTTCAGTGAAATAACAAAATCAGCTCAATTTAAATAGCCTAAGCACCAATAAGTTTCCCAGATTTCAGTTGTGCCTTTTCATGTCTTCTTGAAAAAATATTATGAACACTGTTGAAGAAACCAGCACTCGTTGATAGACTATACATGATTCTTCCTTTTTATCTTCTTTTGATAGTAAAGGTAAATTAACAGTGGAAATTATTTTTCCACGGGTTTCTGCTTAATTTTACATCCTATTTTATCCAGATGTAATGGTTGTTTGATTTGATTGACAAACTTGTAGAACTTCTATCATTGCCATTCTAATATAATAATCTTAGATGACTGACAACCACCAATAAAAATAGGAATAAAAACAATATCGTCCCCACTAGGCACCAAACCAATCTCCATCCTATACCAATGGTTGGAAAATAGCCAGAAATAGTTCCAGAAACACTTTGGCTACAATACAGGACTTTAAAGTGACAATAGCCACCTTAAAGTGTACCCAGAAAGTAACTGGTACCAGGGCAGGTCACACATCACTAAGGTAACTCAGGTGAATGATGTGGTACCCAGAAATGATTTGTTGATGAATTTTGGCCTAGTTGCATATTCAAGATTGTTTTCAAGGGCAGCTTCATTGCAACAATTCAACTGGGAGGTGTGATGAGAAGATGAGTAGAATTTGAAGGAGTGAAGCAATGATAAGATAAAAGAAAGCTGTGTCCAAGACAGACTATTAGATTTTGGTCAGTCCTTCAAGGTAGAGCATATTAGGAAACCAAACTCATGCAGGGCATACTACATTTATTTTAAACTTATACTGTGTTTCCTCAAAAATACAACCTACCCCAAAAGTGAGACCTAGCTTGTTTTTTTACCTAATCTGTGATATTCATAGTGAAAAACAATAATGTGTTTATGACATATTTTGTTTTTCTTTCTTTTTTCTTAGACTTAGATGATTGTTTAGCATGTCCAGAAGATCAATATCCAAACAAAGATCAAGATAGTTGCCTTCAAAAAATTGTAATTTACTTATCCTACCAAGAGCCCATGGGCAGTTCTTTGGCAATTATTGCAATCTTCTTTTCTGTGATATCAGCGTTGGTGCTGGGGATCTTCATTAAACACCGGGACACTCCCATTGTCAGAGCCAACAACAGAAATCTCACCTATATTCTTCTCATTGCTCTTCTCCTCTCCTTCCTTTGCATTTTGCTTTTCATTGGGCAACCTGACCAAGTGAAATGTCTCATGCGACAAACTGCATTTGGCATAATGTTCTCTATTGCTCTTTCTTGTATCTTGGGGAAAACAACCATTGTTGTGCTTGCTTTCATGGCCACCAAACCAGGCTCCAAAATGAGGAAATGGGTAGGAAAAGGACCGGCTATCTCTATTGTTCTATGTTGCTCCCTGGTACAATTCTCTATTTGTATGGTATGGCTTGCAATTTCTCCTCCCTTCCCCGATTCTGACATATATTCCATGGCTGAAGAAATTGTCCTGCAATGTAATGAAGGTTCAACCACTATGTTTTATACTGTACTAGGCTTTATGGGGTTCTTGACTGCTGTCAGCTTCACAGTAGCCTTCCTAGCTAGGAATTTACCTGACAGTTTCAATGAAGCTAAATTTATCACCTTCAGCATGTTGGTCTTTTGTAGTGTCTGGATATTATTTGTTCCTACCTATCTGAGCACCAAAGGAAAATACATGGTGGCTGTGGAGATCTTCTCCATTTTGGCTTCAGCAGCTGGATTACTGGTCTGCATCTTTTTCCCAAAATGCTATATCATTATTCTGAGGCCTGCTTTGAATACAAG